AATACATAGAGCTATTAGCAAAATGTATGAAAAGCAATTATCATATCAGCATTTGTTTCCGCCCAAAGCACATGGAGCGGTAAATTAATTTTGGAATGTACCTACGCGGTACAAAGCCTTCGATTTGCAAATTCAATCAGAAATTACATCTGGCAGAATGCAAAATTACCAAACTTTCATGGACAAATTAACAAGGAATTACTCCAGCGTACAATAACTTTAGGCCAACCATCAAACGCTGGGATCGCACAGCAATTTCCACGAGGTGCAGCCCGACTTGGGCTTACACTGGGTTGCTGGAATTACGGGCAACTAATGAGTATTTTCAACAACCACTTACAGCTATTTATGTCAAACGACAGAAATTAGTGAGTACGAAATGGCTTTTCTTAATTTGGCCCTTAATAATCCAGTGCCTCCCCCGACAAAGGAGGGGGTCAGGCCTTTCCTTTCGACACATTCCCATAAGTGTCGTAAATAAGAATACAATGCCTTAAAACCGAGGTCAATTTGCGGTCCCTGAATGAAATTCACGCCAAACGGGCTTGTTGCTGAATGAAGTCGGTAACATGACCGCCGCCAAATAGACCTCAGGTGGTGGTATTGAGGGGAGATGCAACAGGCAAACAATAGGGCGCCAGGGCTTGGTAGAAGTTGTCGAGAATGAACGAACAACTATCATTAGTCAAATGAAATCTGAAGCAGGGAGGGGAGTGCGCGGCGTCGAAACCATGGGTTTGACTAAACCATTGAAAACCATGCCAAGCCCTCTGATAAGACAAGTTTGTGCGGGGGCCACCGCGTCATGCAAAAGACTCTGGACCTCTAACTGAAGACACTCCACAGGTTGTCGGGCAAGGGGGTCATATCGCGGTCTGCAGCGGGTGCGAGATGACGAAATCGGGTCATCTGAAAACGTGAAAGAGCATCAGCAGTGCCATTATCCAGGCCTGGAACATGCTGAGATCGAAACTGGATATTATATGTGAGACATGTCACCACGAGGCGGCGGACCAAACGCATCAGTAAGTGACATTTAGACGTTTGTCAGTTGATGACACTAACTACAGCCTGGTTGTCACACCAAAATATCACGGGTTTATTATGCAATGGGACAGCCCACTGCTGGACCGCTAGCACAACGGGGAACAATTCCAAGCAGGCAATAGAAAGGGACTGACTTTTTACATGCTCGGGCCACTTCCCTTGACACCAATGCGCAGCAAAGT